GCCTCAGCCTCTCAGTCCATTCCAATTTATCAGTTTTTCAGAGAAAATGTCTTATTGTTTTCAATGAGGTTAATTCTAAAGAAGCAAAAAGGTATGTTTTCTCATTAGGGAATCAAAGAATGGAGCTTAGCGCTTATACGTATCTGAGGACTAGAAGTGAAGGTGGATGAAGGGTACATCAGTGGGCCCACGATTTTATGGGTGTGTGTGAACAATTTTGGGGTGTGTGTGTGAATCTGTAACCTGCATTTCCCTACTTTGTGGAACCAACATGAACCATAACTTTGATTTAAATAAAGTGTTTTGGTTCTTTGGGAATATTTTTTGTGCGTCCCTCTTGTCCTCAAAGATGAACAAAAGTTTCCTATTTGTGGTTTCTTTCTTTGTTTATGGTCTATGTTTTATTTTTCATTTGGATTTTTTAATTGTATTTGATTTCGGTTCATTTTGAGTTTATACCCATCACTGATGGTTGTAATCTGACAATGTATTTATTTTGTGTCTTATTTTTTCAGTGGAAACTGCCCAGAGTGGCCTTGTAGCCAGATGGGTGATATAGAAGTTGAATGAATGAATGAATGAATGAATGAATGAATGAATGAATGAATGAGTTAATAACATGTATTTACCACTCCCTGAATTTTTGCAAAAATTCTCCATTTTCATCACGAAGACGTTTGCTTTCATTCTGCAGGTTAACTATTTCTTCCAAATAACTCCTGAGCTTGTCTTTCAGATCTTGTATATCAGACTCCTGAGTTGACTTCTAGGAAACAATACGACATATATGGAATATTATGAAAATACAATTCACAAACACTCATGCAATTCACAAATGTTTTCATCTGAACACATTTAAAAACTTACAGAACATTCCATGTTTTTCATTTCTTCCAAGTAGCTGTTAAGTAAATCTTTGTTTTCATTTTCCTGGGCAGTAATTTTCAAAGCTAAGCGGTTTGCCTGAACGGTAAACATATAACACAATTGCTCATTTGGATTATCACAACAAATGTGGCATTTGAAAGTTCACGTTATTGCAACTTTTGTTTGTTTGTTTGTTTGTTTGTTTGCCCTAAGCAATAGTTTTCTAAAACAAGAGAAGTAGATGAAAATCCTAGCTGGAAAAAAGAGAAAAAAATTAAAATGTGAATTTCAGTTCCATAAGCAAAATGTATGAATGCAAAGATAATGGTGAAAGGTATTATTTAGAAATCATAATGAGTTATGGTGACAATGGTTGACAGAAAAGGAGGAATCAAAGAGACAGGCACAATTTGTTTATGGGCTTTGGTGGTCCCTCAAAAATGTAACATAATAAAAATTCCCTCTGAAATCTAAACTACCATTCATCTACAAGCCAGCAAAAGAACAATCAGTTAAATATATATAAAAAGAACAGGGGTAGGGGAGGCTGGAAATCCTCCAGAACTAAATTTTTAAAAACCTGAACAAGCACACACACACACACAAATACCCTTTTTTGTTAGTGCCAAAAGGAAAATCTAGTTGGTTCTAGTTCCATTTCTTTTGGTGAGACATTCCAAAATTGAGGCGGCATTACCTCTCCTTTGTAACTACATGGTGCATTTCTCTCACTGATGGTAGTCTGAATGCTCCAACCAACATGCAATGACTAGATTGGCTGAGGAATGCTGAGCATTATCATTCAAAAAAATTACCTTCTCGTGCCTTGAGTAGGCACTTTGCACAGAATCACAAACTAGTCCCCTCCTCAGCCAACACAGATTGGGCCCAATTCTCCTCCCCAATCTTTCCTGATGGTACTGGTATGCTTTTGAATCAATCTCTGCAGTTGCTCAGTTTCCATTGGTACACAGTAGCTGCCATTTTAATTTTAATTTTTCCACAATGCCCAGAATGGCTAATAGGGCAGACAAAAATATTGCATTGTAAGAAACTGGAAATGGTTACCAAGTGGATCCAATAAGAAAAACAACAGGACCATTGTGCAAGGATGCAAGCAAAAAGAGCTAATGAGTGGCAGTGCCAGCATGAATATGCAAATATTTGAATGTCTCTACAGTGGACCCTTGACTTACAGACGGCTTGACTTACAGACTTTTTGAGTTACAGACTTCTCTGGCCGCAAAATTTAGGTTTGACTTGCAGACTGAGATTTGACTTACAGACCAGAAAAAAACCAAAATCGAACAAAAACGGCCTGTTACGGGATTAATCGGTTTTCAATGCACTATAGCTCAGTGGAGACTTGACTTACAGACTTTTTGACTTGAGAACCGCCTTCCAATACGGATTAAGTTCTCAAGTCAAGACCCCACTGTAATTGTAGTACCATAGGAGAGGGGCAAGAAGGGATGAGACCCACATCTGGTGGTAGATGTGGGTCTCAGGAGCTACCTAAGTATCCTGGATGCGGAGTACAAAAACTTCAGCAAACATTTAATTTCATCAAAGAACAATGGCATTTATTCACACGGTTAGATAATACTTCATTTTTCAATAGACAAAATGTTAAAGATTTATAGGTTATAAATGTATACAATATAACGTACACTTTAAGGGGATATATTTGTTTAACAACTCACTTTATCATGCCAGGACACTAAGTCAGCCTTTGTGTCTACTTCTTGCTTGATTAACTCTTCAAGATGTTTTTTGTGCTGTAATATTGTCTCCTTCATTGCATTTATCTTGGTACAGAAATCATCGTAGATAACTCCAGCTTCTTTTAACTCATTCCTGGGGATGGGAGTGGGGTGGGGGGAAGGAAATTTATCCCTTTGTCCAAAATTACTTTAAATGAATCAGAACTTTATTAACACAACCTTATAAGCCCAACATATAACAACTTCCTTGTATTACAATATAATGAAACTGTTTTCATAGGTTCTGGTATTGAATGGTGTGATTCCTATTAAAGGTAAATTACGTTGATTGGTATTTACGTCTCTAAGTTTACTTAGGATTGCACCTTCAATCTTCTAGTTAATAACTTATTTTCTGTAAGTTAACTGTCAGCTAGCTGAGTAAATTTGCTAGCAATACATATGCCCTTAGTGAAGGTTTACTGGCAAATGGTAGAAGCTGATGGGCTAATAAGAAAGTGGCAAAGGGATCAACAGGAAGAACTGTAGGCTTGCCTGTTATCAACATAAAATAGATTTATTCCAAAATATATCCTAAAAAGAGCAGCACATGAAAATATTTCCAGGTTATATAAAATATCTGCCAATACTATAGTTGAATAAATGGATTTTACCATCTTGAACATACCCCATCTTACATGCTTCCTCACCTGGCCATAATGTCCCCTCACTAGCTGCCTAGCTATCAGCAGCTCTAACAATATGAGGCTGTGGCTTGTCCTCTAAAATGAACATTGAGGATGAGAGATGAGCCTGCTTTTCTCTGTCTCCTAAAAAAATGGTTGTCTGTGTGAGTCAGAGACAAAAAGGAGGGTTTTTTTTGAGAAAGGAAAGATTATAACCTGTGATCTTCCTCTTAACTGCTTCATGGTACAGTTGCACTCAGACATGCACACTTTGTCTGTTCTCTTCAAATGTAGGGACTCAGCTGGTAGCTGGCTTTCCCCACAGTAAGGGATTACAGGCCCTATGACCTGGGAGAACTACACCTCTGTACAGTGGTGCCTCGCTTGACGACGTTAATTCATTCCAGCAAAATCACTGTAGAGCGAAAACGTCGTCAAACAAAATAAAAAACCCATTGAAACACATTAAAAACCGGTTAATGCGTTCCAATGGGCGAAATACCTAATCGTCCAGCGAAGATCCTCGATACAGCGGCCGTTTTCGGTTCCTGTAAAGCGAGGAATCCATCCTAGAAAACAGTGGGGGGGGCATTTTCTTCAGCCAGCGGCCATTTTGGAACCTGACGATCAGCTGTTTGCTGATTGTTGTAAAGCAAAAACTGGTTCCTGAAGCAGGGAACCGATCATCGCACAGCGAAAAAAACCCATTTAAAACATTGTTTTGCGATTGCAATTGCGATTGCAAAAACATCGTCGTGAAGCAGATTCATCATTATACGGGGCAATTGTTAAGTGGGGCATGACTGTATGCTATTATATAGAAAATGTAATGAGGTGGATGGTGGATAAGCAGCATGCAACGGCAGGGACAGAAAGACATTAATACCTCACATTATCCAAGAAAATATCCATACTACACTCCTCCAGGTTTCATAAAATCATGCAGATTTCTGCTTCTGGGAGAGAGGATTATCAAAAGGCACTGAACACTGAAAGAGTCAGTAGAGATAAGCCACGACTTGAGATAGGTGTTCATATATGTTGGTACCTGTAATCAGCCTCGCCACTGCATTTTGCACTTGTAGTTTCTGTACTAGCTTCAAGGGCAACTCGACACAGAGATCATGGAGGCACAAATATCTCCTGTGGCCAAGAACACCTTTTATCAACTCCGAATAATTGCTCAACTGTGCCCCTTTCTGGACAGAAAATGCCTAGCAAAAGTGACTCATGCTTTAGTCATATCTAAAACAGACTAGATGACGTTGTTAAGGTGCTACACTCAATATGCCAGCAAGTTTGGAAAACTCAGCAATGGCTAGAGGATTGGAAAAGATCAGTCTACACCCCAATCCTAAAGAAGGGCTGTGTCAAAGAATGCTCCAACTACCATACAAATACACTCATTTCACACGCTAGCAAGGTTATGTTCAAGATCCTCCAAGGCAGGCTTCAGCAGTATGTGGACCGAGAACCCCCAGAAGTATAAGCTGGATTTCAAAGGGGCAAAGGAACTAGAGACCCAATTGCTAACATGCGCTGGATTATGGAGAAAGCCAGAGAGTTCTAGAAAAACATCTACTTCTGCTTCATTGACTACGCAAAAGCCTCTGACTGTGTGGACCACAGCAAACTATGGCAAGTTCTTAAAGAAATAGGAGTGCCTGACCACCTTATCTATCTCCTGAGAAATCTATATGTGGGACAGGAAGCAACAATTAGAACTGGATATGGAACAACTGATTGGTTCAAAATTGGGAAAGGAGTACGAGAAGACTGTATAATGTCCCCCATCTTATTTAACTTATATGCAGAATATATCATGTGAAAGGCAGGACTAGATGAATCCCATGTTGAGATAACCAGTAGATATAAGCGAGGACTGGAGATAAGTATTTATATCTGTTGGTATCTGTAATCGGTCTGGCAACTGCCATAGCTTTGACTATGCAGACCTTTGTTGGCAAGGTGATGTCTCTGCTTTTTAAGACGCTGTTTAGGTTCGTCATTGCTTTCCTCCCAAGATGCAGGCTTCTTTTAATTTCGTGGCTGCTGTCCCCATCTGCAGTGATCATTGAGCCCAAGAAAGTAAAATCTGACACTGCCTCCATATCTTCTTCTATTTGCCAGGAGGTGATGGGAAC